CGAAGCCGAGATTGAATCGCTAATAATAAATCTTAAAAGCGACTGTGCCGTTGGGTGGGATTCCATACCTGTTAAATTTCTAAAACTTGCGAAACATATTATAGTTCCTCCTTTAACTAAAATTATTGAACTGTGTTTATCCCAAGGAATATTTCCAAAAGCTTTTAAGAGGTCGCTTATCACCCCAGTTCACAAGGGTGGGTCTCGCGACAGTGTCACAAATTATAGACCAATATCTGTACTCAGCTCACTTTCTAAGGTACTTGAGAAGGTAATAAATAACCGCCTGATGAATTTCTTAGAACATAATAATTTATTACCAAGTTCACAATTTGGATTTAGACAAAATATGAGTACTGAAGACGCGGTTAGTCAGCTAATAGCACATGTAACCTCAAAATGTGATGCTGGACAGAAATGCTTGGGAATTTTCCTAGATCTGGCAAAAGCTTTTGACACTGTCGCGATTCCCATCCTTGTGGACAAACTAGATCGTATCGGTGTCCGGGGTGACGCCCTTGGGATCTTAAAGGATTTCCTATGCGATCGAACGCAACAGGTTAAAATTGGTCAGATGGTAAGTGCAGAATCTCCGGTCACCTATGGGGTCCCCCAGGGTAGTATTCTCGGACCGAGTCTGTTTTTAGTATACATAAATGACTTGTGTCGAATGGCATTACAAAATACCAAAATTTTTACTTATGCTGATGATACGGCCTTAGTTTTCACTGGAAGGACTTGGGACGAGGTTCGTGTTACTGCTGAGCGTGGTCTACGAAGTGTTAGTTGTTGGCTACGAGAAAATTTACTAACGTTAAATCTCTCAAAATCGACATTCCTTCAATTTACTCCTCCTAACAATAATCCGGCAAATATTGTAATTAAACTTCACACCTGTAGCTCTTCTCTCAATTCGGACTGTACCTGTCTTACGGTTACCAAGTCTAGCAATGTTAAATATCTCGGGGTGATTCTGGACGACAGGCTCAGTTGGCGTGCGCATATAGAATTCACGACCTCGCGTATCAGAAAACTCATTTACGTTTTCAAAAAACTCAGATACGTTGCTGATTTCGGGCTGCTGCGAAAAATTTATTATGCACTCGCGGAGTCAGTGTTGAGATATTGTGTAGGGGCTTGGGGAGGTGCTTGCAAAACTCATGTACTTGCCTTGGAAAGAGCACAAAGATCCTTACTCAAAGTCATGTCTTTTAGTCCTTTTAGATTACCTACTACAACTTTATATGAAGAGTGCAAAGTACTTTCTGTAAGGCAACTACCTATTCGTTTTGCAAAGTGTCATGAAACAGCATAAAGTCACCCCATATAACAAAGACAGCTATAATGAGAAGCGCACCCGAACTAATGTGTTCTTTCGTTAAATGCCGCACAGCTTGGGCAAGACGACAGCTACTGTTTATGCCTTCATACCTGTACAATAAAACTAATAAAACTCTAAACATATATCCATTACCTGCTTGTGAAGCTAAATTAAAAATTAACCTTTTTTTTTAATTTACCTACCATATTTTAATCTTTTGTTTGTACCTATTGTAATGAAATAGACTAAATTTGTCAAAATTTGAGAGAGGACACTGCCTCCAGTCACACAGGTTTGTAACCTAGCTCTGGAGTCAGGGACTTCATTATAATGTTGTACTATTTTTGTGACAATAAACATTATTATTATTATTATTATGTTTTATCTTTATTTTGTTAAAATTAAATTGGCGTAACGCTATGGTCAATGAATGCCATCAGGTTACACCATTTATAATTGAATAAATAAATAAATAACTAAATAAATAAATCTGATACTGATCCTGACACCGGTATCGTAGCAGGATATCTAACCTACATCATAATAACCTCGGTCTCAAGTACAGTACTATCCCAATTTACAAGACAACGATAACGAATTTGCGTAATCTGAAAGCAGGGCCTGTGATGAGTTCCCACGCATTATAGACGCTAAAGTGCACTGTTAAAAAGAAATCCAAAATAAAATCTCCAAATATGTAACCGATAAGTAATAATAGACTCATTAAAAATAGTTCTCGCGCGGTTGTTCAAGGTATACACTTTTAATCCGCTTTTAATTTCAAGGGGACTGACCTCACGTATCTATTAATTTAGTAGCAGTAGAGCTCGTTGTGAAAAAGTATTAACCTTATTAGTAACCTTACCAGTTTCTGCCGCCAAGCAGTAATGTCAGCATTACTGTGTTCCGGTTTTCCAAACCGGATATGGGGTAAGGGTGCTGGTGAAACTACAGGCACATGGGACTTGTCAACTTACGTCTCAGGGTGACGGGCGCAGTGGCAGTGCCCCTCAGATCTTTGCGATTTAAAGCTCTGAGTGACCCTGAAACTGTTATGGATAGGCGTGTAGCTTACCATTATATTATAAAAAAATCTATTTCTTGCAGATGGTCATGTCGAGTTGAAAGCGGATCTTGTCACACACTTGCCGCTTTTCAATTGTACGAGTAAACCAGACTGCTTGGCACTATGCTTTGTCGGTTTGGCTGGCCACACGCGAAAGGGGTCCTCATTACAATCGATCATATTCACTGGTTACAGAAGTTTGACCAAGAACTCAATAGTCTATTCTTTACCACGACCTCCGCGCCCGGCTAGCGTATATGGCTTTCCGTAAAGCGTAAAGAGTGTCAGTTTCTTTCAATAAACGGTGTGTGTCAGTGGTTTACATGAACATTGTGATCACAATTTAGAGGGGCCAGGACTTACCTCGTGAAGGCGCCTTGCACATCTAGCATTGACTTTATTATAACGTCACAGTTTTGGTTATGTTTATTGTCACAAATAAGGTAGTGGAACCAATCATGGACGGGATTAGGATTTATTTTTTGTTTTGATGAGTTATCCTGTGAAACTCGAGGAAAGGTTTAATTGATTAAAAAGTCTTCAAAAAATTATTGAAAGTGCTATACTCATATCAATTAATAAAGAAAACATTGTTATTCAAGAAAAAGTACACCCTTTTTGAGTATCCTTATATGGACATTTCCAATTATGAACACCCCGTCATGGACGGCTTTCAATCATGGACACCCCGTCTTGGACAGTTTCCAATCATGGACACCTAAACATGAACTATCAACTATTAAGCCAAATTAACAAATTCAATCTTAAAAAACAAGATCTTACATGGTACTTAAACGAATGGCGTGACGTTTCATATGACGCATTTGTAACTGGTAACAATTGGTGGTTATTCGCTTCAGTGCCATGTCTAAAAAAATCAAATCCAGTAATGAACGACAAGTGACGGACACTGATTCCATTATTGTATAGACTTAAAATAATGTAACTAGCTATAAACTAAAAGTCTGGCTTTATAAAGACGGTAAACGCAAGTAAATCTCTTTATTTTAAAATCCTATTATGGACAAAAAATGACTATGATTGGGTAAATAGCTAAATGAGATCCAGTAATACAAATTTAAAATTTGCCAATAGACGTTATGTTATTCTTTTACAGTTATGTTTTGCTTAGATGCTTTAAACAATACCAAAACACAAAATAACCAGAAGTCACCACACTCTTAAATACCACATTCAAATATGATTATAAAAGCGTACCTGAGGCGCAGCCCTTATAAGAAATCCGTTTTATTTTAAATATGTTATCACCGTCTTACCGCATCGCACCGCGATGATGTGCGAATAAAGATGGCCGCCAGCTGTCAAAGTGTAACTGATGTCGTCCATTTTGATAAAAAATGATAAAAAAATTGAAAGTGAAAAGAAATAATTAGCGTTTCCTTATTTTTGGCGGTATAGCTCAAAAATGTTCATGATTGGTGCACTGTCCATCATCGGTTTCACTACCTTATGTAGGTATCTTTGAATTACGAATGCGATTTTAAACGATTATTTTCTTAAGTTTTTGAACTCATGAAAACAGTGTCGAGTTAGCGGGAGAAGGCGGAAGGGAGGATAGTGTTGCCAGAGTGTAAAATAAAATCTTTGAGTCGCGTATAGTATGCGATAAAAAATATTTTAAATAAATGTTATTGCGTAATAAATAAGTATAGATGGAACTGAAATACTGAATAATGGCGCAGCCATAATTTTTTTAAATTTATAACAGTAAATCATAGAAAAATGTAGACTAAAAAATAAATGAAATTGATGAAGATTAATAGACAAAAATCTTTGATGCTTCTTTGTAACTATGTATCTACCAGTAAGTTTGTAGAGTACTAAACCAAACAAACATTGTATGTACAACAAACACGCATTATTTTTCAAAATAATATTTTAGTTTCTTTATATCAAGCGATAGAGCGAACAAGTCATGCACTTGGTCGTAAAGCGACACGGCTATTACATAACAGTGGCACTGCCACTGCACCCGTCTTCCTGGGACCGAACAGGCGAATAAAAAGACATTTCACACCCCTATTGTATTAAAGCCACATCTGCAAAGTGATAATTTTTCAGAACAGAAGTTTAAAGTCAAGTTTAAGTTGAAGTTAGTCGATATTAATTATCATCCACCCTGAGACATAAGTTGACGAGTCCCATGTGCCTATAATTTCGCCAGCACCCTTATCCCTCAAAACCGGAACACAATAATGCTCACATTAGTGCTTGGCGGCAGAAATAGGGTAAGTACTTTCCTGGACTAACTCTTTCACAAGGAGGTCTACACTGCTACTATGTATATTACGTATTTATGGTACGCATGATGACATGTGACTATATTTATACCGTCCTTTGGAAATGCATCTCGAAGACTACTTGTATATAATATTTACTTTATTGAATATCATGACGTTTTTAATACCACGATATTGATATTTTTTATGATAATACTGCACTAGTTTGTGTTTATTATTGATACAAAGATGATAACAAACACAAAGAAAAATACCTTCGCTCTGGTTGGACTACTTGTGTATAAGTTGTAGCTCTGTACGCACAGAACGGCTCAAATCGTAAGGGATAAGGAGCTCAAGGTTTCGGTTAAAATCATAATGCATTAAAATTGCAAAACGTTTGTTCTTTTAATTGCATTCAGTATTATTAGCTAAATTAATCACAACATTGTACTCGTACAGTCAACGTCAAAAATGTGCACACGATAGAATCTTACAATGTTTAGTGGAAAACTAAATAATATTTACACACATCTTAGAACACTGTCCCTGTCCTAACAGCCTGCCGTGTACACAGCCCGATACGAGCGCTGTACCCCACATAGGGTGCAATCGGCCTCGGCTTGCGGCGCGTCTAGCAACATTAAAAAAAATATATTTTTATTCATTTTGTATGAAAAACATTTGACCAACTTCTGCTTTTTTTATACCATACAACGAAATGATCATTACATGAAAGTTGAGTCGATCAGCACTAAAAAAAAATTATCAATTTTATTCATTTTTATGGACAACTCATGCTTGGACAACTCATGCTTGACCAAAAATTTGACTATACCAAAATGGTTTTCACAAAAAAGACGAAATAGTTCCTAAGACAATTTCCTTGTATCTTCTATGGTTTCGCATTTCCCCATACGATCCCATTAAAAAACACTATAATATACTGGTTCCAAGAACTAAGTCTGGCACCTGGGCATTATAAAAGGCTATGAGGCCACGAAATTAGTTTGTTTTTGCAAATTATTAACACTAACCGTACAATTTAATCTCAGACATCTAATTAAAAGTATAAGGTGGGGTATCCAGTATCCTAAGGATTGCATTAAATTGACGCAGCGTCATGACGCGATTTCTTTTACATTTTTTGTTTAAGGAAATGTAATCTTACCTTGTGGAAGACACTGCGCCAGTTTGAGGAGACTCTTAATCTAATTATGAAATAAATTACCAACAGCAAACAATCACATTATAAAAAGAATGACAGAAGCTCAAAACCACTGGTTTTCAACATTAGATGCTGATTATTACTTAATAGAAACCATGACACCAGCATTAATCAGCATCAAACGGAATGTGAATGCTAGCCTTAATAAATACTAGCAATTTCATTCGCTAGCAATTTTAACTAGATGCTGCGGAAACTGCGGCAAGTAGCTCCGCTTCTCGGATATTTGGGTTCTATTTCTGAAACAATAGTAAATTCGATATTTACTAAAGTGCTTAATAATCATTTCTAAGGGACAAAATATAAAGTTTAGCGTCTCTTTCTATCGCAATTTTGATTGTTGTAAAAATGAGAGAGATGGATCTAGCGCATATTTCATTTTGGGGGTTGCACTAATCACTAATTTCCTCAGTTACAATCATTGTTTTGAATTTTTAACTGTCAAGGGTTGATAGAAATAGACTATTTGTATGTATGTGCATGCGTGAGTGTGTGTGTGTGTATTTTTGTGTGTGAATTAATTAATGATATTCCTTTGCTTAAAATACGGTTTACAAAAGATGGTAAAAGTATACGTCATAATAAAACAGTCTTCATATTTTACAAAATTGGCAAGCAAATCTATAGCTACCTATATTTTGGTAGCTACACAATTCTAAAGGAATTGCTTTAGAATTGTTTAGCTGCCTATTAGGTATTAAGATTAACACATTATAATAATATGTTATTGGTTACGTCGTGACGATATCAAAAATATAACAATCATATCATAATCATAATACACACATCAAAAGTAGCTACATTTGAAGTAATTTTGCCAATTGCTGAAAATCATGTTTCTTAATTAAGTTTTTTTAACACTGATGAATTATTTTGGTCATATCTGATAAATTGAATTTGAAAACGAAATTGTCCCAAAAAAAATCCATCAAGTGTTAAAAAAATTCTTAAAAAACCTGATTATTTTTGTCATGTAAGGATCAAATTTATTGAGATTTATGTGTAAAGAAGTCCTTAATGGAAAAGGAATTTTTATCTCTTAACCATGATATTAGATTACGTTTAAATAAAGTTTATTATTTATTATTTTATATCAGAGGGTAATGCATTATTAGGTGGACCATTTACAATGGTCCAAAATTTGGTTTTTGATAAAGTGCATTATTACGTCATATAATATCTGAAATGAAATTACCTTATTAATATTTCAATTTTAATTATATTTATAGAAATCATTGTTTAACTATTGTGTATACCTCAAATGGAAGCCATGTTTTACTTACATTATTTCCAATGTAAATCTGTTCGGGGTTCTCGCATGACGTCATAGCCATATAATTATTATAATTTTCGTTTAACACTGCTTAGAAACAGTAATTGGTTCACTGATGAACTACAAAAACGTTGTACTCCTTTTTATTTATCATTATTCTTGCACTCACTGTATTGATAATAATATAATAACTTTAATAATGAATTTTTAATAGAGATTTGTTTCGTCACGAAATGACGCGACCGATCCCGAGCGGAGTGAGTCATCTCTGTGAGCATTATTGCCGTGTTCGTTTATCCTGTGCTCGAGTTTTTATGTTCTATACACATTATATCTATATTTCTGTAGTTAAATCTATTAATAGCGCGTATTTTCAGTATTGTCTATCAGATTGTCTGTTACATAATTTTTGTTTTGTCCTTGTTATTACACCAATATTTAACGTGTATATTTAAACTTATTTCGTAAACATATAAAATTTATCATATTATTGCATACATATATTATTTACTTTAAATATTTTATTTTATGAAATCAATTATTTATTACACAGAATTATTTATGTATGTATAATATTGTTTACGCTCGAGTCCGTGCTTCACTCAGATCGGGCTTGCTGAAAACCAGCGCTACTGGTCGATTTTTCTACCAGTAGCTTAAAGCTGAGCAAGTACCGTTTGCCTGCGCCGCGACACGCATTTATTAATAAGTTTCGTAAATTGCAGTACCTGTAAAATTGCAATTAATTTCTCTGTGCTTTTATTTTATTTAATTTTTAAATTTTTGTATTGCATTTATATTGTGTTCAATGTCTAATTTTATAATATTGTATTGCATTTTTTTTTTTTTTTAAGTTCATGTGTGTCTCGGCGAGAGTAATAAATCATTCTTATTCTTATTCTTATTCTTATTCATTTACGTAACGACCCATTTAAAATAAACATTAGTTCCGCGAAACTCAATAATTTAGAAGTTACGATTTTTTATATTCTTTTTGAAAATTTTCTACTCTAGTCACTAAAACCACTCTAGTTTGAAAATTGTTCCAATAAATTAATTGAAATTTGGTATAGAAGTATAATGACTGTGTAGCTAACATGCAATGAGCTATTTTTGTGTTTGTCTTAGATTGCGCCAAATGAGTAGTTACAATACTGTAAATGGGCCACCCTATATATCCTCGCACACATGGCCCATTGTTTCTGGAAGTAACTTAATTTGTTTTAACTATTATAAACTGACCCATCTGGGTTCCTTACATTTATATTATGACTGTCCTGTGTCTTTTCAAAATGTTTAATTGCATTTGTGTTTGTTTGTAGTTGATCACATCTAGTAAGTCAATCAATAATCGTCATGTATATAATCACAATCAAAACTTTATATGGTACTTACTCATCATTCTTCTTACGTCTCTTTGGAATGTCTAATATTTCAATCGGGTCCGTCGTAAAGACTACCGGTCGCACTGATCCGAAGAAGTCCGTAATGGGGACCTTCTTTGGGTCACGTTTAAAGAGGTCACTGCGGACGCCTACTGTCGATAGGCAGGCACTTTTTGGACAGACTGCTAGCTGAAAAAATTAGAAGTAAGTTTTTAAAGTAAAATAATTGCATACAACAGAATATAATATTGACCTATTAACATTGCAAAGTTTTTTTTTATTTATGAAGGTCCCCGCGTCTGAGTTTCTCAAAATCTATGCGCGAAATTAAATTTTAAATTTACCATGAGCTGTTCGATAAAGGAAAACGTCGTGATGAAACCTGCACGTCGCAGAAGATTCACAACCCTCGGAGAAGCGTGTCAAGTCCAACCCGCATTGGGTAAGCGTGACGAACTTTGGCCTAATATGGTCCTTAGTTAAGAGGACAATTAATTGTATCTAGCACTGGGACATATAAATTTGTTATAGTTGATTGATTATGATGACGATAAATTTTTATCAATATTAGCTAGGTATTAATTAGCGTAGGTAAGTCTCGAGTCTTGAGATTTTTGCAGTTTGAAGCGAGGCAATAATTACAATCTTTTTTTAGAGCTTTAAATCGCAAAGATCTGAAGGGCAACGCCACTGCGACCGTCACCCTGACACATAACTTGACAAGTCCCAAGTGCCTGTAATTTCACCAGTAATTTCACCCTTACCCTGCAAAAACGCAGTAATGCTCGCATTACTGCTTAGCGGCAGAAATAGGTAAGGTGGCAGTATTTCCCTGGATGAATTCTTTCACAAAAACATTTACTGCTACTATTTCTACCAGTGTAGGTAAGTTGTAGTACAAAAACCATAATTTGGTCCTCTTCATGAAACGGAGCACTATCTTCAACCACTGCCATTACCATCAGGTAAAATTGGCAAAGTACATAACTACAAGGTGTAAAAAAAAAACTAAGTGAAATAAAGGGCAAGCAATAAACTACAGCAATAAGGTTGTACTTACGAACTCTGACATACTCTTCTTCGTGTTAGGATGAACATTTTCCAAAAACTCCAAGACATAGTAAGTGTATCTGTCTATGATGTATACTCCGATAGCCGAGTCCACATGATGCTGCCATAAGCACAAAAAATATTACATAAGATAAAATAAATTTATTTAATTATAACTCAATGTAACACAAAGAATGCTATACAATTCAATCTTATAGCTTAATAATATAGTTGCGTTGCTTGTTTGTGCATAGGTTCTTTATATTGACGCTTAAAAACAGATTTGCTATATGTATACATATAACAATAAAACAATTACTTATAAGTATTAATATAATTATGAGCCATACGCATGAATGGCCAATGGGACTCTTTTGACTTAGGACATGTTTCCCCCATAAATTTGGTTTTAAACAAAGCTTAATTTTAACTATTAGCTGTGATTAATTTTCCTAAGCAGCACAAATTAAATCATCTATCATTGTTTAAAAACAATTTATCGTTACTTTGATTTCATAATTTTTGATGAATAAACAATCAAAATACTTACAGATAAAGAGTCCTCTCCGACCAAACTACTAGCAGTGGCCAAGATATTGGGCGAATAGAACTTCTCATACATAGATGACGCTTGACACGTGTCAATTATGAAAAATATTTCATTATATCTGCAATATATCACAATTTATTTTTTCATTAAATAACATAATTTCATTACGAAAGAAGATATCCATAATAATTATTAACCTTAGAAGTAAGTGCAAGCTCATGGTACCACAATTTCATTTAACTAAAGTAAACAATTCTTTTATGGGGAACTGTATACATTTTTACAATAAGATTTTGGAGCATATATAAGATTATCATTTCCTAAATTTAAAACTTATATTAAAAGTATTTTAATTGAAAAGTCATATTACAAAATTGAAGAGTAGGTATGCGTTTGATAAATATGTATGGAAAGATAACATGAGTCTAAATTCCACATAATTATGATTCAAAGTGTATTCCATAGCATTTAAGTTTATTTGAAAAGAGTAATAAGTAGTAAGTAGTAGTAAGTAATCCCTAAAGTTTCTTGCTCATTCTTCTTAGGGAGGTCAGTGCAGTGAACAAGAAGTTGCTTCAAAAATGATGTTTTCAAGTGTAAAAATTTAACCTATGGAATAAATGATTACTTGACTTTAAATTTGATTATTTTCTGTATTAATGTTCACCCCGTAACGCATCCTAGAGCGTTCGTAAGAAACTTGCAAAAATTTTTTTTAATAAATATTGGATGAAAATGCAGCTGCACATTAGAGGCACGTGGCTCTAGGATGCTACAATACCAAAATCATTAGGAACACTACATATCTATAGAAAGCATGATGGGTTAATTTTAAATAAGTGCTCTCTAATGATGTCACAATAAACATTTCAAAATAGGATTAAGTAGCAACTCACCTCCTCTTTTGCCACATCTGCTCCAGTGCATCGGCAAGCTCCTGGCTGGTCACCTCCTCGCTATCCTGGAATTTTAAGAAGCCATCGCCTCCATGCCCTGTCAGGTAAATAAGGATATTGCTGCCCTCATCAGTTAGCAATCGCTTTGACCGTGGTGTGTCAGGTGGGAGTCGTCCCGTTAGGAGACGCACAAAGTTTTCCACTGATACCTAGAAATTAATAAATATGTAATAAATAAATTGCTACCTTTATACTGTAATGCAGTATTATAGAACAATACAATTTTGAACTAAGCATACGAGACAAGCAGAACATGCAAAACTTCAATGTGAATTAAGCACCCATTTTCATTTGTACAATTTTTTTTCCGTTGCAAAATGGGTGTTCTATTCATGCCAATTTTTCGCTTACTCTGCTTGTTGTTGTACGCTTAGTTCAAAATCATAATATATTGCAATACTGTGTCGTTATATAGACAGTGAAATAGGCAATGAGCAGAATTACATTTCATCTCTTATAACCAGAGCAATTAAAAGATCTCTATTTCCTCCTCCATGATGTTTTCCTCCAGTATTAAAGCTACTTATAAATTAATAATCTTATTGATATATCATTCCAAATGGACAGGCTCTAAGGACGGGATTATATTAATAGGTATTATATTAAATAATAACAACTGAACTCTTAACAACAATCATACCTCATAACCTCTATAATCCACTTCAACATCATCTCCATATACATTAATCTGCTCATGAGCATTGTTAAAAATCGTCGCCGGTCGAGGGTTTCGCGGGTTACACGCCATGTCGTCAGATATCATCAGAATTATCTGACTATCGGGTATACCCAATCTCTTCACGCTTCTATAAATCGATAAAACATTCGCTACATGACGATAATTGAACCAAAATCGAGATGTGTCAACTAATACTGCCCAGTTATTTGTATGGTTCGACTTTTCAAACTCTTCCGGTATCTGAAAAAACAGAAAAATGCATTATACCGTGTGCACTAGTTATTTATTTAGAGGTTACCTATATTAAAATGGTAAGTAAGTGGTACTTTACTTCAATGCCCGAAGCGAATGAAATAGTAAATACAACGGAGAGTACTAAAGAGCATAGTATATTTAATATAAACATTTTAATTTAGTAACAAGGACCATAACTTAATTACTTCAACTTCAACTTTTGTATAACTTAATGAAATATCGGGTAACAAACATTGATAACACCTATCACCAAAATGACAAATGCACAGACTATGACAAATGAAATACAAAATGTGACATTTTTGCCGACAGTGTTGCCGTTTGTTATGTATCAAGTCGCCACTGACGACGTCAGTGAATCAGTTGAACGTGAAAACGAAGCACAATATTTAAAAAACGAGAATCTGCGCAATTACAAACAATTACAATTACAATTGTATTTGTTTCTATTGTGAAGAGCACAACCACCACTTACAACTTTTGGTAACTATGGCAAGAGTAAATAAATAATTATTATTTGCATTATACAGTTCTCAGATTTTCTCGATTGCTATCATTTAAAATCGCATATAATTTCAGTTTATTTGTATTTTAATAATTATGATATATAATTATTGAAATACAAATAAACTGAAATAATACAATATTAAATAAAATAATGATACAATAATATAAAAGACATTTAAAATCACTAAACTATCCACTTTCTTGGGTTTCCACTGCAATATTAAATAAAATAATGATACAATAATATGAAAGACATTTAAAATCACTAAACTATCCACTTTCTTCGGTTTCCACTGCATAACTACTATTGTTGTTTTACGTAAATGTCTGCATAAAGATGCTAAACAGACGCGTCGATTTTTTTTACATTCGCCTTAATAGTTAGTTGGTGATCATTTCCTTTCATAATGTTCTCAAGAAATCTGTAATGTTTGCTTAAGGACCACCGAACAATAATTATGCTGGAATATGTCGTAACATGTCGTAAGCTGAATAGAGACCTACTGTCATTAAACTAAGATTTAACATCGCTGTTGGACTATAAAGTAGATCTATGAAAGAACTCAAATATTTTTAACACGTTCCCTGTGCATGCATCATATGTGATGCATTTCGAGGTCCAAACGACACGTGAGTGCACCACATATGAGACACGATCCTTTGTAAATTTAAAAGTTTTTCAAAATTTGCACGTGTAAGCTAGATCATCTTTATTTGCTTGCACGTATGGACCACAAAAATTGTGACAATAAGCAAGTGGTACCGGATGACTTTTTAACCAATGTTGCCAGATTATTACTATCAAAATAAATCACGAAAAATATTTATAATTTTTTTATTACAAGTTAGAAAGTTCTAATTATTGACTTGCGTATACGGCACGTGATAATAAAAACTAAACAATAATCAAATAAACAATGTCATAAAACCCAAGAAACAAAAATTGTCTAGTAAGCACAACTAAAATCATTATTTAATGGCTAGCATTGTAGCAATGAAGGCACAATGCTTTTTTACACATCAAACATTCGGTGTCCGTTTGCTTTGCCTTTCTACGAGCTTCTGTAGGTGTGTTGCCTTGTTCAGTCATAATTTTGTAGCAACCAACACAACGCTTTCTGGAAATTTTGGTAGCACATCGACGTGGGATTTTGGTCAATTCATGGCGGGAATAGTTAGATGTCATTGATGGCCCAGCTAACGACTCAGCATCTTGAATTTCCAGGAGATGACTGATAATTATTTCATGACCTGTCAGCAGTGTCATTTTATTATTTCGATGGAGGTCCTTGTAGATCAAAATTGCATTTACAACAGCTACCGACATCAGATCACCCGCAATTTTTTTATACCAAAAACAAGTTTTGCGAACGGGCGAATTGTAACTTGCGAGCTGATCAGCTATATCAATGCCCTTCTTGCCGCGATTGTAATCTAATACAATTTTAGGTTTCATGATTGACCTGAAACCAGTGGACATTGCCATTTGATGATCATGACATGTTGATAAAACCAAAACTTTGTCAAACACTTAGATAACTATATAACTCGTAACACTTTATAATAAACTTTCACTAACTTTTTCTATCTTTTCACGGTATAGACTACAGATATTTAACTAAAACATCTGTCAAAATGACTCTAAACGTGCATGAATTATATGTGATGCATTAAGTAAACAACTAGTACGTGCATGCACCATATATGTGGCATCAAGTAAAGAGCTCATACGTGCGTGTATCATATATGGGGCACTCGGAAAAATTTAGATAATGGAAAGGGAGTTTATGAAAATGAATTTTCTATCCATAAATGTATTAATATATATCAATTCCGACGTATTTGCAAAAAAAAAAAAATTGCACGTGAGGGGTCAATTTTTGATTTCTAGTTCCACAGGGAACGTGTTAAGTTCATAAAAAAAAGAAAAAAAAAATTTATTGACTTAACTGAATCTAGGTTACATATATCATTGCGGTGAACTTCTTTTAAGTATGAAAATATTTGTGTCAGAAGCCACCGCTCCTCTAATCCGGTACAATTATTTCTTAGATTTAGGGTCGTATTCCAGAACTGTACTCAATACTCAAGTCAGGTACTTGAGTATTGCAGTGAGCGCTGAATATCGTACTCAAGGCCTTGCCATTAGGGTCGTATTTCCAGTGTTTGAAATCATACTCAAGTCTGCTCAAATCCTGACTTGAGCATTGAGTAGAGTTCTGGAATACGACCCTAAGTGCTGATCTTATTTTATATTGACTAATTAAAATTAAGTGTGTGTGTGTGTGTGTGTGTGTGTGTGTGTGTGTAGTGTGTGTGTGTGTGTGTGTGTGTGTGCGTGTGTGTGTGTGTGTGTGTGTGTGTGCGTGCTGCGTGCGTGCGTGCGTGCGTGCGTGAGTGCGTGCGTGCTTGCGTGCGTGTGTGCTTGCGTCCGTGCGGGCGTTCTCTTTCGGGCGGGCGTGCGTGCGTGAGTGCGTGCGTGCGTGCGTGCGTGCGTGCTAGTGTGCGTGCGCGCGCGTGTTTGTTTTTGAGAAGATGATTACTTAGACCGAGACTCGCAAAAGATTTTCAACTTCATTATAATTTTTAGACTTTCACCATTTACTTGTCTCATTACGACACTCATAGGCATTTAGCGAATACACATGTAGCAGTTTATTAATTTGATTATAAATATACCTAAGTGGATTGTTTTTTGTATTTTCGAAACGCAATAGTTGTCTTAATTATATGTACGGGAGCAACATTGTATTTTCTTCTTTTCTGAAGAAAAGCTGCGTTGAAGCCTATATTCTTGTGCGTTCTAAGAACAACCTGAAGAATATATAATTTACGTACCGTCAACAAGTCGCCAATGGAGTACAGTAGCTCAGTGGGAAATCTACGAGGTTTTTTAAACATTACTTTCAGGATAGAACGCTGAGCTCTCTCTAACTGTATAAACTTCGTCTTAATAGATCCACCCCAAGCTGATATACAATATATCAGTACAGACTGTACAAGCGCTAGATATATGGATCTTAGGAGCGTATTGGGTGTGTGCTATGTTCCTCACCCTACTAATCACAGCCTCAATCTGAGCGTGCCATGATAGCCGCTGGTCAACTATAACACCCAAATACTTGGTTGACGGCACTTTGTCTATAACCCGGCAGCTGCAAATGGAAGCACCTCGGCTCGGGCATTCATGGATCCTCAAGGCAAAGTTATCAGATGGCTGTAAATTATTATAAAGAGTAAAACAAATATAGTTGGTCTTGCTCACATTTAAAGTGAGAAGATGTGTATTTAGCCAATTGGCAACCCTTGCAAGGCCCTCTTCCGCAGATATCCGGACATCATCCCGTGAGTTGCCTCTAAAAACCAAAGCAGTGTCATCAGCATACGAAAAAATCTGTCCATTTCGCAACTCTAGGTCGCATAAACCATTAATATATATTATCATCATTAATAATATATTCATAGGGCTCATACATTCATTCAACCCTCGTGTTCCTTCCACTACTAACTAAACTTAATATTAGAGGGTCTGGACTTAATAAGTGCTCAAAAATTAAATAAAAGAATTGCGTTACTTTTATTTATTTTTTTGTAGATGCTCTGGTAATTTCCAGTTGTTCACTTTTTTCACAAAACTTAGGTGACAATAAAATAATATTTACACAAAAATGCAAATAAACGCAAAGTAAAAGTGTTTATTTGCATGCTGTTTAACTCTCGATACGTTCATGTAAATATCAGTTTTTTTTATAACAGGTAAGTACGACTAATAAACTATACAAAACTTAATTGTGAACACTTAGATCATGAGAAACTCACCGTGTTCCCTAGACTACAGTTTTATTAAGAACATCATAAAAGAAAATTGCAGTGAAAAAGAACGAGGATTAACTATATACACTAAAGTTATTACGGTCGTACCGTACAAATAGGGGTCCTGAAGAATAAGCAAGGCAGCGAGACACATGGGGCGCTACACAGACAAAAGCAAACAAAAGCAATGTTTTAAAATCTGTCGTGGTTACATATGTTTACGTACAAAAGTTTTTTTGTAAATGCATTCCACACAAACTTTAGCGTTTTATACTAAACTATTCATGTGGTATGATCAGATTTATGTTTTTCGTTTACGGCTGTATAAAAATATAATTTATTAATGTATTTGACTATAAATTTATATTATGGCTTCTTTGAAGTCTTAGCGAGCGAGATCAAATTAGACTCACAAAAAGCGTTACAGTGGTACCGCTGTGACGCCATTACACATCGTTTCTAAAAACGCATCACAAAGTCACGCGTTGCAGTCACAGCTAATTAAAATGTGTCTATTTTTTTATTGACCACAATTAATGAAGATTAAATTGGAGATTTTTTTATCGATAATCTTAAATTATCCGTGCAGTATCGAATAAGATTTCTACCAGTTTTTCCAAACAACCGGAAAAGAAAAAGGCATACAAATTTTTTCATCATCTTGCCGAACCTTGTAATATTTGCTTTTGATTACTTTGACAAAATAAATGTAACGTACGGATTCTAATACATTCTGGTAATCTTTATAATTTTATCTTCCTCAGTCAGTCGCGCCACAACGGCACTGCTGTAGCGCTTCCTGGAGCATCTAATTTAAAAGCACCCTTGAACACGCTGAAAATGAATACGTAATTCGGTTTTCGATATCAATTAACATCAGAGATTTTTTAATATAATATAT